TTTATGTGAAGAAATTCCTCCTGATGTGCCACCAGAATCTCCCCTGCTGCAGGTTGAGGCCTTGCCCTCTCATTATTTCCCTGGGTGTCCAGCAGAAAATTCTGACCCCCCACCTGGCTACACCCCCTTTTCAGGGAGCTGGAGAGAGAAATAATCTCTCAGAGCCGCCTCTTCTGGGCTAAAGAACCCCAGCTGCCTCAGCTGCTCCTCACAGGCCTTCCCTCCAGGGCCTTCACCAGCTTCATGGCCTTTGTCTGCACTGCCTGCTGACATGGCCTCGGCCCGTGGATCCAGCCTGTCCAGATCCCTCTGCAGAGCCTTCCTGCCCTGCAGCAGGCTGAGTCGCCCACCAAACTTGGTATCATCCATGATCTTGCTGAGAGTTCCCAGGATCCCCTCATCCATATCACTAGTAAAGATCATAAACGGGACTAGGCCCGACACTGCTCCCTGGGGACAGCGCTTGTGGCCGGACACCAGCTGGATGTGGCACTCTTCACCAAGGCTCTCTGGGCCTGGACATCCAGACAGCTCCTGACCCAGCCAGGAGAGCACCTCTCCAAGCCGTGGGCTGACAGCTTTTCCTGGAGAATGCTGTGGGAGACTGCCAAAGGCTTTGTTGAAGTCCAGGTGGACACTTCCACAGCCTCCCCCCTCATCCACTGGGCCGCTCATCTGGTCATATTTAAGACAGAAAACTCCCAGCAGGACCTCCTGTGAGACTCGGGAATGTCCCCCATGTCTTTGATCATCATTTCCCAGGAAAAAGCCTCTCCCTGCAGGGTGAGATGAGTTGTCCATTTTCCCTGGAGGAGCAGCTGGTGATTGGCCTGGCAGTGCCACAAACAGAACATGTTTCATGCATAACCATACACAGTACATTTGCTGCCTACATGAGAGAGATCTGGTAGCTCCCATGTGTCCAATCCAGCATCATCCATCCATGCCATCCCCAGATGGGCATGGCATCTCCTTTGCCCAGGGGATGGCAAAGCACCAGGAAGCAGCTCCCAGGCTGCCCTCCCAATGAGCAGCCAAAGATACTTCTGGGTGGACCAAAGGAGATTTGCCCAGCAGAGGCCAGGTTATGCAAATGGCTTGATTTTCTTGTTTCCTTCTCTTGCAGAACAGCACTTGACAAAGGGTTCATTTAATGCAATCTGAACCCTTGGTGTTATTGGAAAAGGGGTAAGCCAGCTGCGTGATCCAACACTTTGCAGTGTCTCCTCACAGCTCCCAGCAAATATAATTTTTCCTTAGTGGCTGAAACCCCTGTGACACACTGGAGCCCAGAGCTCTCACCAAAGATGGACAGACACAGAGCAAACTGCAAAATTACCCGGCCATGTCAGCGCAGCTGCATCTTCCCAGGGAACACAGGTGCTTCCCACCCCACCGTGGGCAGGGAGCAGCTCCGGGCTCAGCAAAGGGCTCCATCCCTATTCTCCATTCACAGCAGGCTCAGCAGAGAGCAGAGGCCATCCCAGCTGAAAGGTGCCTGGCAGCATGCTTGTGCAGCTGGGGCAGCCCTCTGCTCAGCTCCAAGCTGGGTTCCTGTGGGAAGCACCTCTAAGACCTGTGGGAAGACAGCAGCCAGGCTGATCCTCTGTTTTGTGTTTTCCAGCTATTTCACCTCCTGCTGTGGAAGGCAAGGCATTTCCACCAAGGAGGCAGAGGACTCTCTAATGCCTCTGCTATAGTCTGAGAATGGCTATTTTTATAGGATTTCCAGGAAGGAAGATGTGTGGGATTTCCCAAACAGGGTTGAGATTGAGTTTGTCCAGGAGTTCTGCCAGCACTTGTGTTTATCCAGAGGATTTTTGGGCTATCTGGGGAGGAGGTTTTGGTATTCACAATGCTTTCACTCCCTTCTACTTAAAATATTTGATGTTATTTCTCAAGGTGACTAGGCTTGAGTTTTTTCTTAATAAATAAAATAAGCAAATGCAGGGAAATGTAAACTCTGTTATGATTGCAGTACTGGGGAAAGGCAATTCTGAATTGACTCAGATGATTCCTTTCTCTGTTGGGCTTCCCAGGTGTTTCACGAGCTTGCTGTGCAGGACAGGGCATTTCTGGGTACTGCCATGAGTAAAGGTCCTGGGAAGAACCTGGGAAGTTCACAAAGGAGGGACTGATGGACATGATCAATGAGCCAGTGGTTCCAGAGCCAGGAAATTGAGGGCAGTGGACATGGTGGGAGTAATGGTGAGGATGAGTGTGGTCTCAAGCCCCAGCCGATGGGCAGAGGTGGGAGAGCAAGTCAGAGGGAGCCGTACCCTGAGGTACAGCAGAGGTGTCTGCAGAGGTGCCTCAGCCTGAAATCACTCCGATGCTTTCATCCCATCAAGGGCTGTGTCAGCATTTGATCCCAGCAGAAAAAATCCATCTAGGCAGAGGACCAGGGATGGCAGGAGCTCTCCAGCAAAAGGGGTGAGAGTCATGATGTGCTCACTTTGTTCTTCTAAAAAGCAAAATCTTCTCCTAGGGGTCTGTGCAGCCCAGCTGGCACAAGGCAAGGCTCTTGCTGCTGTGCCCAAGGCAGCTGGAGGCAGCAGGAGCAGAACTCCATGGTGCCCCCAGGCCATGCCCCGTGTCTGCCCTGGGATCTGGTGGCCTGTGCTCCGGTGTGCAGAGCCCCCAGAACTGCCCCTGGGGAAAGGGCCTGGCCTCTGGCTGCTGGCCCAGCTGGGGGTGGCTTTTGCCCAGGATCCTGCAGCACATCAGCCAGCCCCAGTAGGGCTCTCCAAAGCTCAGGGCAGCTGCACTGGCCCAGGGTGCAGCATTTCATGCAGCTGAGGCAGGCCTGGAGCTCTGCTGGCTGTGGTCACAGCTGGGACACCAGCACACCTGGAAACACCTGCATGGGGCTGCCTCGCTCTGCACCTCCACCAGAACCTGTCTTTTAGTGCAGCCCCCAAACAGGTTGGTCCTGGCTGAGCAGTGAGACCCAGCAGGACAATGAACAACAGCTCCTGAGCTGAGAAGTCCAGTCCCATGCTGGCACCTCTAAAAGTGACACTCTGAAAGTGAGCGGTTGGCACCCTGGCCCACTTTGTTCATGCCATTCACATGAGAATAACTGCTGTCTGAGACTGGCACTGGTTTGGATGTTGGCACATCCTCTGATTGCATTTGCACACCCAATGTCCTGCAAGGATGCTCTGGGCACTGTGACTTTACTGGTGGTTCTAGAAATTTCAGTGAGAAGCAACTTGTGGTTTATAGAAGATGTGACCCTGCAATCCAGCACTGCATCAAATAACTTTTATTGTGAGCTCTTGCAAACTTCATGATGTGGCACACATTGTTCTTTGACAGCCATTGAATACATTTCCCCAAATCAGTTTCCCATAAATCTGCAGAAAAGCTTCAGAAGCAGAGCAGAGAATGAAGGTGTCCAAGGAGTGCATCACAGGAATTCAGCTTTGGCTGCTCAACGCTTTCCATGTATCTGATGCCAAAGCCTGCCTGTCTGATACAACAGCTGCTGCTCTCAAGGTGCAGTTTCAAAAGCAAGCAAGCAAAAATATGTTCCAGGATCACAGAATCACTGAATTGTGGAGTTTTCGAGGGACTTTTCAGGACCTTCTAGTCCAGACTCCAGGATCCAGCAGGGGCAGCTAGAGCAGGTTGTCCAGAATCACGTATTGTTGGCATTTGGGTATCTCCAGGCATGGAGATCTCCAGACAGGATCTCTGGGCACCCTGAGGTGCCCTGGTGCCACTGCCCTGCTATGTAGGTGAGGGACAAGCCAGCTGCACACTCCTGGGACAACTAAGTAGGAGAGGACTCGTTCCTGAGAGCTCTCTGCTGAGATGGGCAGCAAAGCAAAGCAGCTGGAGGCTCTGCCCACATCTCTGTGCCTTTGAGCAGAGGAGGAGGTGCCCTGAGGGACAGAGCTGGGAACACAGCAGAGAAGGAAGCAGCACAGACTCTGCACAGGACATTTGTGCCCCTCTACTCTGCTCTGCTGAGACCCCACCTGCAGTGCTGCCTCCAGCTCTGGGGCCCACAGCACAAGAAGGATACAAAGCTGTTGCAGTGGAGTCCAGTGGAGGCCATGAAGGTGCTCCAAGGGCTGGAGCATGTCTGCTCTGGAGAGAGGGTGTGGGAGCTGGGGATGTTCAGCCTGGAGAAGACTGCTGAGAGTGCAGTACCTCAAGGATCTCTCAGAGGGCTGGAGAGGGTCTTTGGACAAGGGTATGGAGTGACAGGGCAAGAGGAAATGGTTTCACACTGATGGAGGGCTGCTTATGTATGATATTGTAAGGAATTAAATTACCCTGAGGAGGGTGCAGTACAAGTAGAAGTTACCCAGAGATATTCTGACTGCCCCATCCCTGGAAGGGTTCAAGGCTGGGCTGGGGAGTGCTTGGAATAACCTGGTGTACTGGACGGCATCCGTGCCCATGGTGAGTAGGTCAGAATGAGATGATCATTAAGGCTTTAAGATCCCATGAAAACCAACCTATTCTGTGATTCTGTGACATGTAGGAAAAGGCACTGAGCCTTTTTCATTGAGGATGTGAAGCTTATTGCCGGGGACAGGCATTGTTGAACAGAGTAACCTTTCCCCCGTAGAGCTTGGTCAACCTCTTCTCCAGCTCCCCTAGACTGAGCTCTTCCACTTCGTTCTTGTCATTCTCAGCGATGGCCCCCCAAGCATCTTTGCGTTTTTTGTCCCCCTCGCAGCAGGCAGCCGACCAGATGTGGCTGGGTCTGTTGACCCTCCCTTCAGCGATGTAGGTGTTCCCAGGCACAGCACCCGTAATTACGTAGGTCGTTGTACAGCCCTTGGTCTTTGTGGGCATCTTTTTAGACTCGTAGATGTTCCACTGGCCCTTGTTGAGGCTGCTATCCTGGGGGACTATGTTGGTGAGGGTGAAGGTAGCTGTCTTGCTTTCTCTACTGTACTGATGGCCATTGGGGCTCAAATGGCCACGGTCCAAACCAGTCACATTGTAGTCATTAAGGACAGCCTGGCTCTGTTTGATTTGGTCTAAGGTGAACTTGTGTTGCTCTACGAGGACCGACTCTCTTTCCATCTCTTTAAGATTATTTTTACCTATCAGCTTGATAGGGAAAGAGAAGGAGGTGTTAGAATTGGGAATGGGAGTAATATAGAAGATTTCCCTGGAGCAGAAGTCTCTGATGGTCAAGATCCCATTTGGTGTCATCTCAGTGCAGGAAAATGTATGAATCTGAGACAAATCATACACATGGCCTTCCTGCATGAATGCAAGACAGTTAAAGAGAAAGCAGTTCAGAATGTGACTGCTCTCCTTTTGCGTTGTGACCTTTGTGATCCAGCCTGCAGCCTGTGCTGGGA